TAAATAATTTTCCAAATGTTATTTATCTATTCATTTAATTACTCAACAAATATTTATCAGGTGCCTTTCAAGTACTGGGGTTTTACAAGGGAAGGAGTTGGCAGCTAGGTCTTTACCCTGTGGAGCTTAAAACTTTAGAATGGAGGAGGCAGACAACAAACAGGCCAACCAATTAAACAAACAAGATAATTTCAGACAGTAATAAGGATGAAGAAGACAATAAATAATACTATAACACTGGTTGAGCATTAATTATGGGCTCTAGGTGCATTTCAAGTTTAAATTCATTTAACTCTCATTACAACTAGGAAGTTCCTGTCCCCATTTCACAGAAGATAAAAACTGAAGTACAGAAAGGTTAAGTATCTTCCCCCATGTCCCAGAGCTAGTAAGTGAACAATGAGTTCATTCCTAGGAAGCCTGCTCCGGAGTTCATAATCACACACTATACTGCAATCCCACGCCATGATTTATTGCTATTATCAATATAAGACTGAGTAAGGAAGCATAAGGTGCTGAAGCAGAAGGCTGCTTTTCACTGAATGATCAGGAAAGTCCTCTCTGAATCTGATAATAGAAGAGAGAGCCACACACATAAAGATCTGGAAGCTGAACATTCTAAGCAGAGAACAAAAGTCCAGCATGTTTTAGAAACAGAAGGCCATTATGACTGGAGCAGGATAAGTTGGGGAAATGAAAATAAGATGAAGTGAAACAGGTACATATAGACTAGCTTGTACATGATCTGAATTTTATTTTAGAAAAGCACTGAATAGTTTTAGGCAGAAGATTTAAATAATTTGATTTATACTTTATAAAAAGACAATTTTGAGTATGGTGAAAATGAATTGGGTAGGGGAGGAGGGGCAGAGTGAAAGAGGAAAATGAATATAGGTAGTCTGTCTCCAGTGCTAAACATTTACAGTAGTACCCCCCTTATCCATGAGGGATAGGTTCTAAGGCCCCTAATGGATGCCTGAAACCGAGGATAGTACCAAACCCTATATATACTATTTTTCCCATACATACATACTTATGATAAAGTTTAATTTATAAATTAGGCACAGTAAGAGATAAATAATAACTATTAATAAAATGAAAGTTATAATAATATACTGTAATAAAATATATGTGAATGGCTTTGGGGCCACTATCAAATAAAACAAGGGTTACTTGAGTACAAGCATTGTTACACTGCCACAGTTGATCTGATAATTGAGATGGCTAAGTGAGTAAGGAGCAGGTAGCATATGCAGCATAGATACACTGGACAAAAGGATGATTGACATCCTGGGTACAAGGAAGCAGATAGCATGAGATTTCATCATGCTACTAAGAACAGTGCCCAATTTAATACTTAAGAATTGTTTATTTCTGGAACTTTCCATTTAGTATTTCTGGATTGCTACTGAATGTAGGCGTAACTAAAACTGTGGGAATTGAAACCACAGAAAGCAAAACGTGAATAAGAAGGGACTACGAAAGTGTCATTTGCTACTTAATGATGAATATATGCTCTGAGAAATGCATTAAGTGCTCTTACACAAACCTAGATGGTATAGCCCACTACTGTAATTGTATGTGCTACTTTTATACAACTGACAGAACAATGGGTTTGTTTACACTAGTATTACCACAAACATGAGCAATGTGTTACCACTCCAATGTTACAATAACTACATCATTAGGGAATAGGAATTTTTCAGCTTCATTATAATCTTATGGGACCACTGTTGTATATGTGGTCCAACATTGACTGAAATGTTATGTAGCACATGACTGTATTTAACCTCTTTGCTCTAAATTTAAGGTATAGCAATTCAGGTGAAAGTATAAAGTAGACAGATAGAAACAAGAATCCAAAGTTCAGAAGAATGGGCAAGGCCAAAGATATAAATTTTATTTTGTAACCTCTCACATATGGTAAATATTATTAAAGCCATGGGAATAGATGAGATTACACAAAGAACATAAATACAGTAAACATAAATACAGCATAAATGGAAGAAAAACACAGATTGTAATCTGTGAAGTCTATTCATTCCTCTTTAGAGCACTTCTCTTCTGCTCACTGTCCAGAGGGTGTCTGTAGCCCTTATCTTCCCTCAGGAGCTGGGTGAAGAAGATTGGTTCATAATGACAGTCTGGGGTTGCTGTGCAATAAAAGAGCTGCTTCATGCAAGGAGTCATTATCAAACCCACAGATCTCACTAAAGACACAATTATAAGAACATAACATTCCTGAATCCATATTTATAGAAAGTAAGCCATTAATCCAATTATAACCAAGTTTGATATAAATGACCTGTGAAGTTTTATATATAGATCTTTATACCCTATGCTATTAAGGTGAGTTAATAGCTAACAGCAAAAATAGCTGTTCTGCTAAAGCCTCATAATAGCTGGCAATATAGCACAAATCCTGCTTAGCACACCTAGAACATAAAAATGGCACAACTAAACACAGAGAACACAGAGAGAGGGCATGGAACTTTTAAATACTTTACAAGTCAATTCTTCAAACCTCTTTAAGCTAAAAAGTCACCAAGAAACTCCTAACTCTATCAAGGACAAATATATCCCATTTCCTGGCATAGTTTAGGAATAGTAATTGAAGCCAAGAGAATTCAGTGGTATAAGAAATGCAATATTTGCAGTCTTCCCTTCAACTTCCTCTCATCATTCTTGCTGTTTTTTACCATGTGGAGTTGTAACACTCTTGGCACTCCACACTATATAAGAGGCTGAGACCAGGTCTTCCTGCTTAGAGCAAAAGTGGTGGATGTGGTGGGGTTGTGCTAATCAGTTATTTACTAGGGTGATGATGGTCACAATGAAGAGATGTGTAAATGACATAAAAGACTTCTGCTCTGATGAGTTCGGGAGGGAAGCTATCATTTTTCTTGAGCGTAATGTTAGACTGCTATTGGAGACAAGGTTCTAGAGCTTAAGGGACCACACAGTGCTCCTTTCATCTCAAGATGTTTTCTCTGGCCCAGAATGTTCTCCTCCTCACTGAAATCTCCATCCTTCAAAGCTTGGCTAAAGTCCTGTATCTTTGATAAAGATGCTCATTACTACAACCCACCTGCCATTTTCTAAATTTATACTGGCATCTAACCAAGTAGACAAGAGAAAAATAATTGGTCAAGGTGCTTCCTAATCAAGGGGAAAAATGAAATGGGTGGTTTTTAGTTGCTTGCAGGTAGTTTTAAACTCTTGAATTTTTATATTATTTTCAATATAAATAGAAGGTCTCCTCAGGTGAACCAGATCTGGATATTTTCAGCTGTGGTCAGCTTCTCTCTGAATCTCACTAGGGTTTGGTGATGCAGAGTAAACAAGGCTATAAATCAAATTGCAATGCATTTAATACCTCAATGCACTGTAAATTGATCTGGAATAGGGGTTAGTTCAAATCGTTTTTAAAGCGAAAGTGGCCCCTTACCCTGAAGGGATGGAATGGAAGTTAAAGATAGCAAATCCAGAGTTATATGGGATTTAGAAGTATGGCTGCTTATTAGAATTGAGTGCAGGTTTCTTCAGGTGAGATTCTTCAGTTACTTATCAGGATGGAGCCATGGATATTTAAAAACACACATCTTGGTGCCTGGCATTAAATCTGAAATCTGGTGGGCAACCTTTCAAGAAATAAAAGCTACAAACAAAATAGCTTTAGTTCCATTCAGCATGCTGTGGGAAATGGCTAATGGACAAGAATTACTATGACTGGCAAGGCGAGCTGCCAATAAATGAGAGGAGCAGAGACTCAAAACCACCACATACCAGCAACACTTCCTAAGCTTATTTCGCTAATTTGTCATTATCTGAAATGAAAGCAAAATGAGGTTGCAGAGCACAGGGGAAGGAACTACTTAAAAGTAAAAGCTATGTTTCTTTTCTATTGGTTAGTTATCTCTGTTTTGAGCAATTATGGTTTACTTCTACCATTTCCTGATATTACATTTTGTTTTACTGAAGGCAACATTTTCTCCTTTTCAAATCACAAGCAGAGAGCTATTTCTGGTAGGGAAAATTTTCATTCTGCCTTGTCTTTTTCCACTAGGAAGAAAGAAAGTCTTGTGGTTAGACAGGAAGAAAGTATGGAGTTCTGATATGCCACACCTCAGAGAGGCCATATTTTCTTCTCACTTGTTTTTTTTTTTTTTTTTTTCCAAGTGCTGTATCCCCCATCTTTTTTTCCATCTTTAACTCTTAAGTCTCAACTCTTTATCATTTTAAACAAACTAGGGGTTAAGTGAGTCAACACTTGTAATCTCTGCGATTGTGGAATGGAATGAAAAACTATCCCATCACAAAGGAAGAATGAAATAACTAAATTGTATATTCAAATCAGTCCAAAATCCAACTATTAATACTTAAAATTCTATTTCGGATAGATTTTTAGTGTAATGGGTAATGCAAAGTGTAATAGTTTTCAAGTAATGGAACAGAGCATGGACTCTGGGGCTGGACTACCTGGGTTCAAATTCTATTTCCATAACATACTAGATGTGCAGGTTTAGATACATTAATTTACCCTCTGTATGCATCTTTTTCTTCATCCATAAAAGGAGAATAATATCAGTTGTACATCATAGGTTATTGTGCCGTGCAAAGAGAAAGTGCTATATGAATATTTAGTATTATTAAATATGTTTCAGAAAACTTCTAAAGGGCATTGTTATCTCCCTATTCTTAGTTAGTTCAATTAAACAGTTATATGTAAAACCAAATAAAAGTCATCGGTTTTAGATCACAAAACAACCCTTTTGCTAGTCACATAAGGAAAAAGGATAAAAATGAAATCCTTTCTTCAAAATTAGCTTTAACTGAAAATAAGATTTTACCAATAACATAATCATACACTTGACTTTTAGAGGCAAGACATTCTACTTAAACCTATATGCTTCAATGAAAAACACATTTGACAGACAATAACAACTTATTTTAAAACATTTACATAATTTGAAACATTGCACTATGAACAAAATACATACTTCTGTGGTGATCTGTTATCAACTTCAGCCTTCAGCCGTAAATTCTCCCTCACTAGGCCACCATTTTCCAATTTTAGTTTTTTATTTGCCTTTAAAAAAATGAAAAATAATTAAGTATAAGCTAAAATAAAAGTGCTTGTGAAATTTACAACATGAGCCACCAGTATTTTTTAGAGTGATAATAGAAGAAAACTGAATGCTGGAACATGGCCTTCAGAAACTTAAAATCACCACAGGGAATGACTTAGGAAATTGTGAATAACAACCAAGCATTTTAAATCCATATTCTCCAAGCACTTTGCAAATCTCCTATCCAGGGAAATAAACGGAGCTATGTTAGTTACGAGTCATTAAAGGACTATACTAATGATGATTCTCCTCCACCCCCTCTTTTTCACATAAGTGAATATTCTAAGCATGGTAACATTATACAATATGCAATCATTCACAAAACTAATGCTAAGAGTTAAATTCTTGAGCTATAATATTGATTTTTGGTTGCTACTTAACAATAGTTTTTTAGTGGTAACAAATCTAATCATTAGATTGTTTGTTTTTTTTTCTTCAAAAGGCTTCCCCAAATGCCCTGGCTCACAACTTCTGAGACTCTCAAAATTTAGTTAATATTTTCTAATAAATTCTATGGATCTCTTGATTAAACAATAAAAAACCCAAGTATGGTTTTCTTTTTTCTAATTCTGACACCTAAAACTTGCTTAACAAAACATTAATTGCTATAAAATATAGAACAATCATGTCAAACTCATGGCCCACGGGCTGCATGCAAACCACAATGAATATTTTTGTGGCCCAGGCAATATAATGATGCGTAAGAAATGTTTTAATAAAAATTTCATAACTTAATTTTTATAATATCCTGTTATACATAATTATTAATAATAAACTACAATGTTCACTAATGACTGATTACTATAATCGTGTTTTATTCATTTCCTTCATATGCCTTACCGCCCAGGCACACCATTTCCCTCCACTAATACTAGCAGCAAATATTTTAGCAGCCAATTACCATTAGTCTTGTACTGACTTGTTTGATATGTGCAACAGGAAATATTTCGCTTTTGGAGAATAAAAAAAATGGGTTTATTTGTTTTATGCTTATTAATTTGTGCAGTTATTCAGTGTCTGGTAAGTTAATGTTCAAGAAAAAATATTAATTTATTAAAATGTTCTATTATTTTATGTTAAAGATTACTCATTTACTTCAGCCCTTTGTATTCAGCATGTCTCTATCGAAATAACCCTAATTTCTATGAAAATTGAAGCTTTTGTGTTTTTGCAGCCCACATAAACTTAAACCTTGTTTATTTGGCCTGTATTAGCCTTTGAGTTTGACATGCTTGATGTAGAGACCCGATATTGATTCTGGACAGCCTAAAAAAAATGCGCCTAGATTACAGAGGTTCCTTAAAAGTTACTCCTGTAAACTCCCTAGTCATTGCATTTATTAATTCCATAGAAAAATAAAACTCCGTGGAGTAGAAACCAACCTCATGAACCTGGCAGGAAAAAGTCTTTGTTGAACTAGAACCTTCACATCCAAAGTGAATAGGTCATAAGAACTGTTGTCAACAAAAAGGTTTAAACTAGGAAGACTTAAAAACAGATTTCAAAAATTTGACCAATGTTTTTTACCAGTTTCCAGAACTTCTGACTATATTACTGCCTATCCACAGACAAATAAATACCCTAAGAGCATAATAAGAGAAGCAAGGCAGAGAATAAGGCACAAGCCTAACTCTCTTAGATTCATCCAGGTTCCTTTTGGGCTCTGAGCAACTGCTAGTCTTTATGGCTGTAAAACAACAAGGACTGTGGAGGGTTAATTCTTTAAGTGACTGATAAACACCATTACAGCCTCTCTGAAGATATAAGGAAAGTCATTTACTTCCTCATAGACACAGACAATGAATTAAGCTTTCAAGCACAGGACCATAAGAGGAGGAGGCACTTAGTGAATGCTTTTTGATGATGTTGATAAGCTTAAATTAGAAACTCACTTGAGATTTCTTTTCTCCATCCCCTCTGTATTGTATCATTATATTTTAAGATCTCTCGCCAGCCTATGGCTCTCTTTATGGGCTGGCTAGTTCCTCAAAAATCAGGAGATATTTTCAAGTTCAGAAGAGTTAGGAGGGTAAAGAATACACAGGGTGAAGTTTTCCTATTTTTTGCATCTAAGAGAGTAATGAAATCTTCAGCTATTTTGTATTCTCAACACTGACTGGGTAGTGAAACTAGCCTCATAAAAGTTCAAAACTCACCCTGTCCTAAAAAAAAAAAAAAAAAAAAAGGCATTTTCACTCATTTTAAATAGTCTTTTATTCTGAATCTTTTGTACCCTTGTTTTTGATTTATAGTACATAATTTTATACTTCATATTCAAGTTTTTCCCCTGTAGTCCACGTTTTTAGATTCATTTATGCCCCAGATTATTGCCTAATACCATCCAAAATTGGCTTACTAAATAACCCACATAATTCTGAGGTCTCAGGATAGCTTTGAGTATTGAATTAACATGTGGTCTTTAAAAAGCAAAGAAAAACTGTGTTTTATGTAAGTTTCTTTTACATACATCCCCTACACCAAGCTTAGAAGTCCTGAGTAAACTTCATACCAAGCTTCATGATCTAAGATTGCCAAAAACTTAAATAAAGTTTAATAAATATAAATGAGATCATACAGAACTTACTGATGGCTCAAGAAGAGAAAAGGAAGTTAAAGGAGACATGGTAGATTGATAAATAGTGTAACTTCCCAGTTGTCTTTCCTTTTTGTGTCCTCTTCTTAGACAAATCAACATGCTATCAATATTAGCTATCAATTCCAAAGAAAATGCACACTTCTCCTAAACTTACAATAAACTCAGTGCCATTATGTAGTAGTTTATTTTTTTTTCTGTAAAAGCATTGGGTTCTCTTCTTTCTCTTATTTGGGCCCAAATAAAATTCGTGTGTGTGTGTGTGTGTGTGTGTGTGTGTGTGTGTGTGTGTGAAAATAGCTTAGTATTTACACTAAGCTGCAGATATTTTTCTGCTACTTAACCTCACTAAGGATCTGAGGATGAGGTACTACTTTAAAATACCATATAGAGCCCATTAATGATTTTAAGAAGTGGAATTTGGTAAGTCAACATAGTAATAGTGTTTTAAGGGAATGTAGATACTTTAAATGGGTGGTTATGGGTGTGGGCATCACAAAACCATCTTCAATTAGCACAAAGGACTTCACTGTGGATAAACTTAAATTCAAGCTAAAGGATGGTCCCTTTGGCCAACAAAGCTCAATAGCACTTGATTATAACCTCCAGTGATGATTGCATGCATCTCATCTCCTTTCCTAGACTGGAAAATCTTAGAGGCTTGGCTTTTTCACCTATGCTTTCTCTATCTTGTTGGATGGATGGAATAATTTGAAAAAAATGAACCTGCCTCATAAGGCACAATATTCTTTTGCATAAAATAGTCTAAAGAGGCTACTCAGAGCTCTCTTGATGTTAGTCATTATGTCTTTAACTATTTACAATATTAAATATCGGAGAATGGTGGTGCTAGAAAAGATATAATCCAAGTCTTTCATTTGATAGGTAAGGAAATGGATATGTGTTTGTTTTTATGCATACAGGGCAGTCACTGACATAAGCTTTAAAAAAGTTAAGGTAAACCACAAAGAGGGGAAATAGAAACACATCCTTTAAATTGATGGCATTCTCCTACAAGAAGATGCAAACTCATATATAAAAGCACTAGAGTCTCCAATTATAGGCACAAATGGAACCACCTTAAATTTCTTGGCAGCTAATGACATTTTAGGAGAAAAAGTTTTCCTATTCCTTATTAATGCTCATTCAGGAATTTCTGTCCTTTCCCCACAAACCATCTAATGATGAGTCAAGATAATATGGCTATTTATACTTCTGAAGGTACTTACAATATTATAGAATTTAAACAAAAACTATAATAGAAATTTAAAAGCTACGTATATTAAATTTTAAAAAAAATCACAACTTACCTCCTTTAACTTATCCACATCATCTTTCACTTTTTCATAGATTTCATTAGCTGTTCTAAGTTTTTTCTTCCACTCTGCTACAGTTTCTGGGTCAATTTTACTTGAATTATCTGCAACTGGATGTTTGTCTTCATTTTGATTGCCCTGCATCAAGGTTAAAGGATCTAGAATAGTCTTGATCTGTGACTCCAAGCTGAGATTTTTATTCTTAAGCTCTTCTACCTCTTTCTGCAGACAATCTATTTCATCCTGAAAAAGCATTGCATAGCCATTAGGTAGACACAAACACTAAGCAGATACATATACTAACCAAGGGTTTTTACATTTTATACTCGGAATTCTGTAGATACAAAAATTCTTTATGTATCAGAATAGTTTTGGATGCAGAAAATTACAGCTGAAATTCTCAAAATGTATTTCGACTTAGATAAAAACTGGCATTCTCATAAAAAAAACAACTGGTATTTCCACTGGTTTCATTTAGATTCAATGATAGTTTGTGGTTTTTAAAAAATAAAAATGTCAAATCTTTTATTCTATTTAAGATATCCAGGAAACATGAATTCAACAAGGAAATAGATTCCTCAGAATTCTAAGGCATGTTTAATTGTTTTACTAAGGAAAATTTAAAAAAATACAGTATTGATGTAGGTAATCTATTATGGTTTTGTTTGACGATTATATTTTTGCTTATGTATTTGAAATAGGAGCTGAAATCATAAGCTATTTCCTCCCACTTTCCATTTCAGAATAATATCTGTAGTTAATTTTTATTTTCTACATTCTGGTTCTTCAATAACCACTGTGACTAAGTATTAGATTTCAACATCTGGAACTGCTTATAATCTAAAATCCAATTATTAAACATTTAAACTAGAACTCTTTTCTGTAATACCATTTATTCATCTACAACAGGTATCCTTTCTTAAACTAAGACCATGAGAAATTCTACTGTTAGAAAATAAACTCCAAGTAGCTCAATAGGCCAGTGATCTCCTAAAGGATTAATTTAATGAGTACCTAAGTATAATAAATATTCATTATGTGAGAATACATTTTAGAATTAATACATTACTATTTACTATTTTAAATCACAATACATTTCATGTTAAATAACATTATAAAATAAGAAAATCACTGTTTGAATTGATATATTAATGAATAAACAAATGTAAGCAGAAATACACATATATGAATGAACACACCAGTGAATTTATTGGAAGAAACAAAACAAAAACAGAATGAGGGCTACAGTCATCAATTGCCAGAGCATGCATAATGCTTTGTGGGGGTTGAAAGACTGACTTTCATAAGAGGGTTTCTTTTATTTCCCAATTTCTTGAGAGAGCAAATACTTACAAAATGATGTATATGTTGAGGACAGATTTTAAATTAAAACAAAGGGAAAAAAAGGAAATGCTTCTATCTATTCCTTTCCTCCATTTGAAATAGGAAAGGAAAAAAGAACTCATCGAATAAGACATTTTAAAATTGGCATTTAAATAAGATTTCATTGGAGTTTACTCTAAGAAGTCCAGGGTCTGAGATAGCTCAGTTTTACCTTGAATTCAATGCTATCATCATTTTAAATTTTAATTATTATTTACCTCATATTCTTTGTGGAGTAACTCAAGTCTAGTTTTCCGAAGGTGCTTCCGGACTGTATGGCTTAGCATAGGTTCACTTTCACTTGTCCCTCCTACGTGAAGAGAAAAAAAAAACCATACCTAACTTTTCACTCTAATTTGGGCAGAATGAAAATGAGCCTTTTTCTTATTGTTTTATATAGTTTCCTAGTTTAATTTTTACTTATATACATCTTTGGGGCTGCCATCTTGGCCTTTTCTCTATCTCAAACTGGAGAAGAGATAATTATCAAATAATACCTTAAGAGAGAAACAAGATGGCAGAGTAGGTAAACACCAATACTTGCTGCCTCCCACAACCACATGAAAATTACAACTAAAATACAGAACAACCATCATTCAGAACTGCCTGAAATCTGGCTGAATGGAAGTTCTGCAACTAGAGAAGTAAAGAAAGTGTATTGAGACAAGTCCAGGAGACATACCAGATCTACCTAATACATAGAAATAAACACAGGAAAGTAGCTAAAATGTGGAGACGAAGAAACATGTCACAAATGAAAGAAATAGAAGCAAGCAAACTACCAGATACAGAGTTCAAAACAATGGTTATAAGACTGCTCAAGGATCTTAATGAGAGCTTCAAGGGACTTAGTGAAACTTACAACAATCTTAATGAGAATTTCAAACGCATGAAAAAGGACCAGTCAGAAATTAAGCATATACTAACGGAAATAAAGAATAATTTACAGGGATTCAACAGTAAAGTAGAAGATGTTAAGAATCAAATCAAGGATTTAGAATATGAGGAAACAAAAAACACCCAATCAAAAGAGCAAAAAAGAAAAAGAATCTAAAAATATGGAGATAGTATAAAGAGCCTCTGGGACAGCTTCAAGCGTACCAACATACACATTATGGGGGTGCCAGAAGAAAGAGAGCAAGATAATGAAATCTGTTTGAAGAAATAACGACAGAAAACGTCCCCTACCTGTTGAAAGAAACAGAATTACAAGTCCAGGAAGTGCAGAGTCCCCAACAGGCCCACACCAAGACACATCATAATTAAAATGCCAAAAGTTAAAGACAAAGAGAATCTTAAAAGCAGTTAGCTACCTCTAAGGGAGCACTCTGTCGACTGTCAGCTGATTTCTCAACAGAAACTTTGCAGGCCAAAAGGAGTGGCAAGAAATATTCAAAGTGATGAACAGCAAGGATCTACAACCAAGATTACTCTACCCAGCAAAGCTATCATTTAGAAATGAAGGCCAGATAAAGAGCTTCACAGATAGGAAAAAGCTAAAGGAGTTCAGCACCACCAAACTAGCATTATATGAAATGTTGAAGGGTATTCATGAAAAGAAAGAAAAGAAAGAAAGAAAGAAAGAAAGAAAGAAAGAAAGAAAGAAAGAAAGAAAGAAAGAAAGAAAGAAAGAAAGAAAAGAAAGAAAGAAAAGAAAGAAAGAAAAGAAAGAAAGAAAAGAAAGAAAGAAAGAAAGAAAGAAAGAAAGAAAGAAAGAAAGAAAGAAAGAAAGAAAGAAAGAAAGAAAAGAAAGAAAGAAAGAAAGAAAAGAAAGAAAAGAAAGAAAGAAAGAAAGAAGAAGAAGAAGAAGAAGAAGAAGAAGAAGAAGAAGAAGAAGAAGAAGAAGAAGAAGAAGAAGAGGAGGAGATAAAAATATGAACAATAAAATGGCAATAAATTCATATCTATCAACAATTGAACTAAAAATAAAAAAACAAAAAATATAATAAACAAAATAAACTAATTAATAAAATAGAAACATGGAACAGACTGAAGAATCTCAAAGAAAAGGGGTGAGGTGGGGGACAGGAAGAGAGCCATCAAAGATCTTATATGCATATATGCATTACCTACGGACATAGAAAATACAGTGGTAATGCCTAGGGTGGGGTGGGAACTAAGTGGAGGGGGGCAGTGGGGATAAAAAGGGGAACATCTGTAATATTCTCAACACTAAAGGTTTAAAAAAAAGTTAAATGCAAAAAAAAAAAAGTAAGAAAAAAACTTCAGTTGAGTTCATTTATCTGTGTATCTTATTATAGTAAACTCATTAAAGGTAAATGCTATATTTTATTAATTATCACATTTGGACTACTAGACAATTCTTAAATAATGATAAAATCAATGATTATTCTTATATTTAACCAATAAATTATATAAATGTTATCTATATATTTAATATATAATTATCCATATATTATCCATATATCATAATATATAATACATATCCATTATATTGTATATTTTATAGTCAACTTATTCATTCCAACATACCTAATCACTGGTAACACCCTAAAAAGATTAATGTGCCATTTCACTGATTTTAACAATCTAGTTACAATGTATTATAAATCATAGCATTATTGTATGCCAATAATGACTCGTTACAAATACATTCTAAATGAATTCTTCCCAAGAGCTTTTCACTTAAGCTGTGGTTACCTTCTTTGTTCTTCTTAGCATCATGATATTAAAGGCATTTTACAGATGTTCTTTATCAGGATATTCTATCCAAAGGCTATAGATAAACTATTTTATTTGAGAGAATTTATGAAATATTTCTTACATATGAATGAGAGAAGCCAGGATAAGAGACATGAAGAGAAGCTGCTAGAAAAAAAAACATTTAAATTATTTTAATAATCTAACCTCATATTTTGCAAGAAAAAAAACTTGACTCCTTGGTGAAGTTCAGTACAGGAAAAAAACTAGTGGCAGAGAGGTTAATACTATAGCATGCAGCACAGCAGAGAAATATTCCTCTGTCTTCAGCCAGGTACCTAAGGAAAAAACCTTGAAGCCATCTCTAATTCTTCTTTCAGATCTCTGAGTTACAAAGTCTTACTATAGCTTTTGTATTCTAGCTTATATCTTCTTTTCCATTTCCATTGCAAAAATCTTATTCAAGTCTATTTTCACTAATTTGGGACTAACACAATGACTTCTTAAGGTTTCTAAAAGGTGTCTCCCACACAAAGCTAATGATATATACACTTTCAATTTTTCCTGAAGCAAAAACAAACAAAAATCATTTTAATTTCTACAATCGAACAGAAATAACTTACATGAGCAGAATAAAAATCCAACTCTTTAAATGTTTTATTTTTCAAGGATCTTCTAGTTCAAGTTTTTTGTTTGTTTGTTTTTAAATATGTTTTATTGACTTTTTTACAGAGAGGAAGGGAGAGGAATAGAGTTAGAAACATCGACCAGCTGCCTCCTTCACACCCCCTATTGGGGATGTGCCCACAAAGAATCGAACCTGGGATTCTTCAGTCTGCAGGCTGATATTATATCCACTGAGCCAAACTTCTAGTTCAAGTTTTATCCTCCCTCTTATCTGCACAAGTACAGAAATGAATGTGTTTTTGCATGCTTAATCCAGATTCACATTTTCCCTCTCCTGGGCAAGAACCTCCTACCTGACCATCTCACATTCTGTCTCTCCCCTACAGCCCAACCTACACAATCACTTGAGTAACCTTCCTCAAGCACTTGGATCATGCAACTTCTTTGCTCAAAACCATCATACATACCTCACCATTCTTCTTAGCCAGAGAGCAAGTTACTAACTTAATTTGTCACTAAATTCTCAAGTTACCTTTATAGTCTTATTTCAGTAGTCAATCCCAAACTACTGTTAATTTTCAAAAACATGCTTTTTGTTTTGCTACCTTTAAACTTAAGTTCATGCTATTCCCTCTGAATAAAATACCTTCCCTAATCTTTATCAGGTGAAATTTTATCAATCCTTAAATCCCAACATAAATGCCACCTGCTTCTTGAAGCCTTTCTCAATGTTGCTACGTGAACTTTTCTTGCCTGAACACTCCAGGCCTTTTCCTGGCTTTCTCATGTGCTGCTTTAAACTATTAATATTTTGGTCTACATGCACAGCCCCTATCAGAATGTAAGTTCCATGGAGTTCTAAGATTTCTTATAATGCTTTGTGTTCCACAGTTGCTCCACTTATAGATTATACAAATGACCAATCTATTCATATGATATTGGCAAAATAACATCATTGAAAGTTGTCTATTTTGGTCTTCCTCCAAATAGACACTACTTAGAGATTGTTTCAAATCCATTTCTATGTGCTCAGAAAATAGGCCCTTACCGATAATCTCTTTGCAAGGATTTTCAGGAGTGATGGGGACTCTGCAAGCTGGACACTGGCTATTATTCTTCAACCACAAATCGATACAAATTGAACAAAATACATGATTGTTGATGCATATGACAGGCTGGCGTACCTTTGGAAAAAAAAAAAAGAAACATTACTTTTAGTACAAGCAATAGTCATAACTAGAATCCCAATAGATTTAGTTAAGAGCAAACAAATTGCTTCTCTAGAGTACAGGAGTGTAGCTACTTCTGTTACCACATTGTTTCTTATCTATGTTAACAGAGATACTAGCTGAGATATTTGAAACATCTGACATACAAGGTGGGTCAAAAGTATGCTTACAGTTGTTCATTTGGAAAATATAATAATTAATAAATAATAATATAAGAATAAACTGTGAGTCTCATACTCACAATTGTAAACCTACTTTTGTCCTATTCTGTATTATGAAATGGTTTTATTTTATTCCAAATCACACTCATATCCAAAAAGAAAATGAATTTTGTTCCGCTAAAGGCTGTGACAATTTTCCTTCAACTATTCTATTTTAGAATTTTGAAATGAGGAATAGAAGGTTCTTTAAAGATCATTAAGTCCAAGCACCCATCTGATACTTAAATACTTCTCTCAATTGATTCTACTATATTAGAGAGCAAGAGCAACCAACAATTAAGCATTGGCATCTTACTGGAAAGTCTCACAAACCAGAGACATGAAAGCTAAAACAACCTTAAAAGGCATGAATACCACCCTCAGGTGGCTTATAACTTAAACAGCAAACAAGATGACAGATATTGGCATACGTCTAATACACAAATCTATGACTCAATTTAAACAAATACATATAATGATTCTTTACATTTATACAGTCATATATTTTACAAAGGGCTTTCACATACATTTTCTCTTTCTCTTTCTGTTTTGCTTTGTTTTAAATACCCTGTGAGGTAAAGAGTAAATATACTTTATAGATAAGGAAACCCATGTGGTTTGCTCAGGGTTAACTAGGTGTTTTGGCTGTGTTTAATTGTTTTATCAGAGGGAAAATAAATAGAAAAGTTGCTTTTGTTATACCTGACATCAGGCTTTGATTGTTCACATATTTATTATTTATCTCCCCAGAGGGAAGATAAAAGAGAGAAACTGCTTTAGTTTTTCTGCCTGATATTACATGTTTGTTTATATATTTATTATCTATCTGCCCTTTTAGAATGGAGGCTCCACCAGAGCAAGAAGTTTCTTAGTTTCATTCGTTCCCAAATCCCTACTGCCTAAAAGTCAGCCTAATACACAGTAGGTACTCAACAAAGGTTTTGATGGATGAAGTAATTGCTATTAAGACAGTATTTAGTATTAAATTCAAGCTGGGAACTCGAGAGAGAGAATAATGACTTAATATTCTTCAACACAAATTTAACAATAAAAACAAAAAAGAAATGCTTAGATTTTCATTTCATTTACATGGCACTTTTACTGCAGGACTCAAAACACTTTATAGTCATTTTCAATATTTTCTTGTTCTAATATTAACAATACTATTGTAGAGTCTTCCAGTATTAGGGACCAGAGATCAAAGAAAAACAGAGGAAGTAGAGAAAGAAAGAAGAGACAGACCACCACAAACCACTTTCCACAGAGAAATTTCTTGTCTACCTCAATATATAAATATTCAGAATATGAGTGTCAATTTTAAAGGGGTCCCTATCCTAAGAGAATTCACAGATGTATGGTGATCTGTGCCAGGCAGGAAATCAATTGAAGTCTCACTACAAAGTGCTTTCTGGATCTAGTTTGGCTTCCAAAATTTAGATACTCCCTTATTATGAACACCAGTATAAGAAAACTAATATAATAAAACTAAGAAAAAAAAAAACCAGTATAATAAAACTAAGAAAACTAAAGAGCCGAAACTGGTTTGGCTCAGTGGATAGAACCTGGGCTTATGGATTGAAGGGTCCTGGGTTCGATTCCGATCAAGGGCATGTACCTTGGTTGCGGGCACATCCCCAGTAGGGGGTGTGCAGGAGGCAGCTGATCGATGATTCTCTCTCATCGATGTTTCTAACTCTCTATCCCTCTCTCTTCCTCTCTGTAAAAAATCAATAAAGTATAAATATATAAAAAGAAAACTAAAGAGGAGATCTTCAGCATGAATTTAAGCTTCCTCTTGGAGAAACCAATTCTAATTCATTTAGTTCAACTGATTTGATTGGACTAATTAAATTAAATAAATGACCAAAAAGCACTCATACTCTTTTATCAGAATACTCTACCAGCAGTCCTTGCTTATCTGGGAGTGAGTGTGATGTTGTGATTTATTAGAAATATATATTTTTGGTCATTCAGATAACCTAAATATATTTCTCAGATATTTGATCTTCATCCATAGCTCCTGGTCCACAGCTCCCAAACCCCTAGGAATTTTAACAAATTTTAAAAGATGTTTCTTGTTATGTTAATGAGGTGATTTTGAACCAAAGGTAAGGGCTGGTTGCTGGTAGGAGGAGCCAATTTTGAGGACAGAGGAATGGAACTTTTAGTCCTATCCCCTAGCATGCTTTTACTATGTTTGTACTATGGTCAGTATTTTCCATAGAGGGGAAAGGGCTTGAGGCTGGTAAGTCAACAACTGCTAATGACTCAGTCAATCATGACTAGAAATTTAGCCTCCATATAAACCCAAAAGGACAGATGGAAGTAGACTTGACTTGAGGTAGTGAACACACTATACAATATACAAAAGATGTGTAACAGAAACCTACATAATTTTATAATTTTATTAACCAATGTACACCTGAAACCTACATAATTTTATAATTTTATTAACCAATGTCACCCCAATAAATTCAATTAAAATACCCAAAAGAACAGCCTGTCAGCCCTTTTTTCAGAGAACCAGAGTGCTTCCACATGACACCATGACAGGTCCCATGCCCCCAGAAGACAGACAGAAGCTGCTTTGGTTCAGAGCTCAGCCTGTATATCTCTTCAACTGGCCATTGATTTATATCCTTTAATATCCTTGTAATAAATCGATAATCTAGCAGGGAAAAGTGTTTTCTTGAGTTCTGTGAGCTGTTCTAGCAGATTAATCAAACACATGAAGGGGGTCATGGGAAGCTCTGTCCAAAGTACTGGTAACATTCTGTACTTGTGACTGGCTTGTGAAGAAGTGGAAGGCAGTCTTTGTGGGACTAAGCCCTTTCTTTACCCATGAGAGAGGGATCTGATCCACAGATAGCAAAGATCCTAAAAAATAAGAAGAATTTTATTTTTTAATAAAAATAAAGCACAATAGGGAGACTCAAAGCACAAGGAGGAGATTTTGGCTTATAGGAGTGAAAATCTGTCTTCCATAGAAAATGGAACACTTAAGGTATGAGAACTAACACAAAACATTTGGATAATCTATGGGTAGAAGATTACAGAACTCATGTTGCAACTGTTCTAATTGCTTATATTTTGTCATTAAATATTAGGTGAGATTAACTGCTGAAAGTGAGAAACAGAGAAGAACATCAACTTGAGAAAACAGAAAAATAAAGCAGTTATTTTTAAAAGTGAGAAAGTAAATTTACTAGGTACATGTAGCAGGATTGCCAAACACTATGGAGTTCCTATTTGTGGTTTTAACTGTAAAGATGAATTAACATAGGTGTGTATTTTCTTGCCAATTTTTAGCTACTCAGGTTCAGGCAGGAAGTAAATGAGTTGAAGTTTTGCCAAGAAGAAAGAGAGAGACAAGGACTGATGATAATAGATGACCATGGTTAATAAGGGAAATGAGTTCTTGAATGGTAAAGACAGTGAAAAAGTGAGAGAATTATAGAGTCAATGGATGGGTCTGGGTAAAGCTGAAATACTGCTAGAGAATAGGTGTGATGGGAAGAGGATCAGAGACTGAAATGCTTCCAGCCAAAATACTAGAGGTGGTACAGCTACGTTCTCTGTTTTGTCTTGAACCATCTTATGACATAGTCCTATTTCTCTCTTAATTACGTATCACGTAGTGTGAACACATTTTCTATGGTGACAACTTCTGAGAATCCTCTGTAACTAGACTCCAGTAAAGTGGCAGAGCTTGAGAAATAAACCCGGGGCTAAGTCGAGTTCTGTCTGAGGTATTTGACCTTGGGTAAGCCCTTTAGTTAAAAGGGGCATCTTTCTGCCTCTGAAATTGTAGTTTAAACTAAGTATATTTTTCATTCAGGTATTAGCAATACTTCAAACAAAGAAAACAAATAAAAAAGAAGGAACGGAAAGGTAACAATATTGCTATATCCATTTGCCCAGAAGACAACTCCATATAAGGTTGTTGTAGCTGCCTCAACCATAATATGTCCAAAACCAAACTTGGCGTCCTTATAATCTCTCCTCCCACACTTCTATCTACAAGGTGAGAAAATTAAATGCTATCTTCTTTGCAATGCCTTCACTAATAGTTCCTCTTACATTCCCTCTTGTCTAAGTTAAGGGGACCATCCCTACTCTGCTACCACCACTTGGGCTAGAATACTCAGAACTGTCTCTGACTCACTATTTTTACTTCTCCTGAACATCCAATCCAATCTGTCACCAAATTCTGGTATCATTTATCAAGTCTAAGAAGCCAGAGTTTTTAAGATGTATCAATAAGCAAAAGAAAGGAAAAATGCTGCTAATTACTATAAGATACAATCAGGTGGATAAAAGTACATCTCAGAATAGTTAAAATATACTAAATCTGCCTCTAAATGTTATTTGCCTATCATCTATCCCTTCTTTCCCATCATCAACTTAATAATAAATTCAGGTTCTCATTCTTTACCCTGATCTATTGTAGTAACCCCTTCCCAAGCTTCCTTGCTTCCAAGTGTTCACTTCTGGCCACCTTCCTAAAATATGGATCAGCAACTTTCACTGTTCTTTTGCAAAACAGCAATGTGTTGTTGTTGTTTTTTTGTTTATTTGTGTGTGTTTTTTCTGCTTGTAGTTTTAATTATAGCATTCAAGAGCAACATAATCTGGTTCTTTAACAGCTATTTCCTTTGATTTGCTATTTTAATATTTGGCATAACCTACAATTCAATCACATGGTCTACTTAATGTTCACCAAAAAGAATACCAATAGTGGAGGCTCCCTACTTA